AGTTCCCTTCCCACCTACTCCCCCCGCCTGCATGGAGGTGGGTGTCGGGGGGAAGGAAGGGAGAGCACGGCATTCGGATCCAGCTAGCACAGCGGGCCCTGTGTGACTGCCATAGCTAATGTAGTTTGGAGAGCTTTGGATGATCTAAACTAGGCCTGCGGAGGTTTCAGGCCCGGCCTACCCAGGATGAGTGGAACGCTGGCTGACTTGCTTGCTCAGGCTCTGCTTAGCTGTGAATCCAGCTCCGAACCAGCTGCTGGCGAGACGTGTGGAGCAGCTGCACCCCTCATCCTCTGTCACGGAACTGGGTTTGACGTGAATGCTCAGCAGTGGAGCTTTGTTTAATTCCCCGCCCCTGGATGCTTCCTGTTGCTTTCTGGCTACATGCACCAGCCCCTCTTTTCCCCCGAGGATGACACGATGCTCCCTGGGAAAACTCTCACCCTTCGAACTGAGGGTGAGCCTTCCCTCCCACAGCTGGGGCACGCTCCCAGTGTTACTCACTTGGCTTTAAGGCCATTGAAAGCCTCGTAAAGTGTCACATCGTTCCACTCCACGGTGGTGATCTCGTGGTCGCTCATGCTGGCAAAGGCATAAATGAGGTGGGTGCAGAGATGGGGGTCGATGTCATCGGGGAGGAAGCTCCCCTCCCCAGGCCTGTACTGGGCCCAGTTGGTGAAGTAACAAACCAGCTTAGAGGCAGAACCTGGGGAGACAGCGAGAGGACTGGGTCCCATGTAAACCTGAGATCGCTGTGCTATCTCTGCCACCTCCCGGGGATCTCCCAACAAGACAAAAGCCAATGGGCCCGAATGGCCTCTTAGTCCTCTAATATCAATACAACTTTGTGAGTCGATTGCGGTTTCTGTTGCATTTACTTTGCGGCCTCGGGTAGACAGTGCTCTATTATGAGAGGCCGTAACATGGCACGACCCTTACAGGGCAGTGCCATGATAGAATCTTCCTGGGGGCGCCCAGGCCCCACCTGATAAAATAACCAAGCTATGATCTGCAGGATGAATCAAAATGTACTAAGCCTTATCGTGCCTACGGCAGCTTGCGATGCTAGAAGGTGCATCTCCTGTAATGCGAGAGCCAGGTAAAGGAAAGCCAAAGGAGGAGGAATCTTGACTTGAGTTCTGAAGGATGAAAGCAGCTCTGTGATCCATTCCCCCCTTCCGTGACTCAGCATCATGGTGCACCTTTGTGCAATTCTAACAGACAGGACTGTAGCCTGCAGAGATCGGGGATTTATATCTGAAAGCCATAGATGGAGCAGTCGATATTAACCACAGAGCACTGAAGTGGGGACGCTAGACTGCCCATGCTCTACAGTAAAACACTTAATCACTGGAAGAAGTGGGTTGCCTCTGTCTCTCTGCCATGGGAGTAGCTGGGATTGAAGGGGAGGCAGAGAAGGGGCAGTTTTGGCTGGTGGTGGTCTCAGGCAGAGAGGCAGTGGACATGCAGCCAGAATGACCCCTGCAGTTCCTCCTAACCTTGCAACTTCCCTCCTTCCTTTTCAAATGATTCTATGCCTTTGCAGGATGCGAATAGGTCTGGCACAGTTGTTTGGGAGCTGTTTTGAAGGAGAAGGACTTTCTTCTTCCGCTTTTGAATTCCAGGGCCCAGTACAAGCATCAAAAATCCCACCCACACTGGAGCACTTACTAAAACCCAGCAACTTTTCTTCCCCATCCCCTGTGATCAATCACGTTTCTATTGGCCTCTGTAAAACCAGGTGATAATGTAAGTTGGCTACTTACCGCATTGTAGCGACAGCAAGAGAGTGAAACCTAGAGAAATACAAGAACAAGGGTAAAGTGTACTATTGACCTATCTTTGAGATCCTGTGGACTGTATGAGAATAAAGTAATATTGGTGCTTTGGATGATAAATCCCCCACCTCCCTACTCCCAAAGAGGCATATGCACATGTCTAAGAAATCTTCACAAAGGCCTTAACCACACCTCGTTTTGCACCTGCAGTTTGGTGCCTACAATTATTTGTGGGTGCAATTTAGGCCACTTAAATGTTGAAGCACCTGATTGCAAGCACAAATTGAAAGCCAGAATTTGGAAATCTCTCTTTTTAAAATCTCTTCTGAATGTTTAAGAACTCTTCTGCTTGACCCTTCACAAAATTTTAGATTTTTTTTTTAAGCATCTTCAATTACTGTCTTGCTTTAAAATTTGCTTTGTGGTGACCCTTGTCACAAGCCATTAACAAATGAGTCTCCAAAATACATCCACCCCAAGTGCCTGTTTCATTGAGATTTCCCCAGCCGGGAATCCCATTGCGTCCATTTCACCAAACTGCTGTACAACTTAGGAGCTATTCAATGACACCCGTCACAAGAGTTAAACTAGCCCCAGTCTTACCAGCCCAAATGATTACCTGTCCCATGCTGGGTCATACAGCTGTGCTCTGGATTCTGTCACTGGAGTGTGGAGGAAACAGTATCTGACTGCCAAATGGTTGGTCTCTGCTTTTCATTGTCACTTTTTATACCTGTCTTTCACAATAACCCTGATTTACAAGAACTCAGCATGTTCTTTTTCACAAAGGAACAGTCTTATTTACTCTGTCTCTCTGAGAACTCAACTGGCTATTTTTAGTGAAGGAATTCTTGTGCAATTTTAGCATGCGCTGTGTGTGCGCTTGTGTAGGTTTTGCAATACCTACCATCAGCCTGGCTCTGGCCTGATGTGCAAACACAAATGGTGCCGAGGCAAGGAGCCGGAGACCTTGGGTACACATTTCTGGGATTTATTACTGTTCTTGAAGATGTAGAGCAAAGACTCTTTAAATAGTGTCATTGTACTGGAGAGACTTGCGTAATCTCCAAGCCTCATTCTCTTATCATTGCCTGCAAGCTCCCACTGCAGCGAGATTGGCCCCAAAGGGGCTCAGACCCTGATAAGCCTTGTTGTTTTTTTCACTTCTGCTATTGTGGTTACTTGGCCAAGGGGTGGGTGTTACGAGAAACTGTTTGGCTCGCTTTGATTCCCAGCGTGACCTGGGTCAAATCACTTCCTCTGTGCTGCTGAGGTCCCAGCAGTAAAATGGGGATCATGCTTCACAGAGCAGTGAGAATGTTTTAATGCATTTATATTTGTCTACCCATAGCACCTTCGGGGCCAGGCTCTCCAAGGATGGAGGAATGGCCGCTCCGGACCAGACCATGGGTCCATCTAGCTCAGTGTCCTGTCTCCAGCAATGGTCAACATCTGCTCCTTCAGAGGAAGGTGTGAGAAACCCTGCAGTTATGGGATAACCTGTCCCTGGGGGAAGTTGTTTTATCTTTTCCCCATAACTCTCCATTCAAGGTCAGCTTGTTCCTTGAAGCAGGAAGGTTTATGTTCCTTCCAAAATTCCTGTTTGGTTTTTAAGATGAGCAGCAACTGGGCCAAGTCTGTCTCTAGGGTAACTCTGTTTGCTTGAATGGTCTTAGGCCAGGAATGAATTTACTCCATGGATGAATCCTCACAAGAGCAGTGGAGACCAAATGCATTTGGAGTCACTTACTCCAGCACTTGCTGACAGTTGCTGCCTGCATTTCTAATCATTCAGAAAGATCCCTGCCCCACTAATGTGACCACCTTAGCATGTAGATAAGGCCTAAACTTCAGTTCATCTGGGTCAGTCCACGTGGGCAATGATGGATGACCTGTGTTGGATTCTGCAGGCTGGTCTGTTTGTGCCTCTCTGTTCTCTTCAGGAAGTGAATTTGTGAAGGCTTCGTGATTAGATACCAAGTTACATGCCTCCGAAATATCAAAGACAAATAAAAACCACAGCCCTTGGACTACTTGGAGAGGAAGAAATCGGATGCTTTTTATGTATTAGGAGTCCCAGGCAGTTAAAGTCATTCCCATAACAGATGTAAGGCCACCTTTATTATCTGGTGTTGGAAATATTGTGAATCTATCCCTAAGTTTAATGGCCCAGAGATCTGCACTTGTGTCAGGATTTCTGCTTTTTGAGAGGGTCACTGGCCCAGTGGGAACAGCAAAGTCCTGGCCAATGGAAGACCTAGGTTGGGGGGGGGGCGGGCTGGGTCTCTGGTATCAGAAAGATCACTTGACCTTCCTGTGCATAATTTGAAAATCATATAACCAGGGCCGGTGCAAGGAAGTTTCACGCCCTAGGCGAAACTTCCACCTTGCACCCCACCCCT